TTAAGTAGGATGAAGAAAGGTTAACAACGCTTAGAATAAAATAAATATACATATGAAAGAAGAGCCAACTTCTAATTCATAAATCTTGAATACAAAACAAGAGACAAATAATAGTGCAATACAGTGGATAAGTATAAGTAAAATAGATGTGGGTCAAATGAACACTCACACTTTTTAGAGTTGTCTCAGCTCTATTTAGAAGGCCTGGACGGCATAATCCCTGTCTATGGATATGAGTAGAGGGTCTTTTAGGCTTGATTTCAAGATGGTATGAATATAATATGAAAAAGAAACAAGAAAATTCCAATAGTATGGTATGTATATATATGTAGTAATATAGGAGGGAGATTTTCCTACTTACGTAACCCAGAGCAAGGACCTGCTCTGGTGTGAAGAGATTTAGGTGGAACAATCCCCACCTGAGGATATATGCAGGAACCGGATATGATGCAGGAGCTGGACACAGGTAAGTACTCCACAGGTTGGTGAATGTAAAAGAGGCTTTATTTAATATTAAAAAATACTGAACATACAGCTTATTATGGTGAATAAATTACCTGTATAAAACAAGTATGTGGGTGGAGTAAAATCCTCACTTGACACGTTTCGCTGAAGCTTTTTCGAAAGTGGGTATCGTTTAGTGGAAGGACAGCTTTTTAAATGTTCGCAGGTTGTCATTAGCCAATTCCAATGTTTGCGCAGCTGTTTCTGGAAAATGAATGATGTAAGTTCCAGTTCCTGGGTTGAGAGGTTGTTGTACGTCACTAGGAAGTGACGTATGTGAAAGTTGTCCAGACGCCATTTTAGGCAAGGGCAATAGTCCGGTATATGTATAAAGATGCCAGAATAAGTGAATCTATAGTTAAAGACTATGCAGAGGGCATCTATTAAGTCTTTAAATAAATATCGGCAAAGTATGTATTGACAGTCAATTACCACTTATACATATTGATTTATACAATAAATCGCCATCTATATGTATGAATACAGAAATTGGGATGTATAAAATGGTAATATAATAATATTATATATAGTAATTAAAAGAGAATATGATGCAGAAAAAACAATATATATCAATATATATTTAAAACTAATTATATTTAGAAAACATTTGGGCGGGGCTTAAGCACGGAACGAAGCAGACGCCATTTTCAGCAGCTCCGACGGCGCTCTGTACAATCTGACGATTATCTTAAGATACACAACCCATCCAATGACATCCACACAAGCATCAACACTCCAGCGACTCCCGATGTCAGCACATGCCGTTCTTTCCTAATTTCGGACAGAGCCGGTGACAAAAAAAAGCCTGCGGCCTACCATCTCCCTACATGCCTGGAAGACCTACTGGGGCACTTCCCCTTACAGCACAATTTGGACTGGATCACAGAAAATAACCTAACTGCTGATCGTCCCTCAACCATCGGGAGACGCTCACAGAAACCTCCGCCAGGTACACCAAGTGAATCCCAAGACATTGGGGCTCTGATGCAACGCCAGGCCCTCCCCAAAATGGCGATCCCAGAGAACCAGGAGGCCTCTGCATACTCTCAGACCCACACACCAGACTGCCCTCAAGCTCACACCCTGCCACAAGCACCAGAGCAAACCGCTGCGGGCTTCCCCGATATTTCAGCTCTGGCCACCAAGCAAGATATTAAAAATCTCTTAACTGAATTCTGCCAGACGCTAGCCATGGACATAGCAGTCATCCAGGCTGACTTACAGGTGGTTACAGACAGGGTGAGAGCCACTGAAGAGTACATCATAGATGTGAGGTGGGAAGTGACCAATGTGAAGGACTCCCTGCAAAATGTCCAAAAAACACAACAAGCATTCTCTACGCACCTTGCTATGCTGAAGGACCATTCCAGACGTAATAACCTGAAGATAACCTGAAGATAAGATAAGATTACCTGAGTCTGTCACCATGGAAGAAATGCCCTGAGACGACTAGTGGCCTCACTACTGCCACCGACACAAGCCAAAAAGCTCGCTCTTGATGGCATGTTCCGCCTACCACATTCACCAAGACCAGAGAGGAATGCTCACTTGGGACCCAAACACAGTAGTCCCCTTTTCTCCACGGAACCGCATGACCACGAGCACCGAGACATGACTAAGCTCAGATCCCAACGAGCAACAGGCAGTAATGGGCTGCACTCATTTCACACCGTTTCACCTTTGTTTAAACAGTTTTCTTTATCTTTTATTGTTCATATGGCTAGACCAGGTTACAGCAACCAAAACATCCTCCTTGTGTAGGAGAGGGAAAATAACGGCCCTCCATATGAGGCCTTGAAAGGATGGGTGATGCTCCATAAGATAGGGGTACAGGGGTAGGGCTTCACACCTATCGCGACTGAAGCACTAACAGCTAGAGTCAGCCCAAGCTTCTTTTTCTGCAACACCACTATTATCTATAACCCAGGCCTGAAAAGCGAGGCTGATCAAAATAATGAGGCTCCTACTGACACTCACACCCGTATACCCAAGCCCACATCAAGCTACACAATCCCCTTTAAAAGCTACCAAACTGCGTACAATCGATTAATAGTAGCTATTTTTGTATGTTCTGGTTCAGGTATGATAACACCAGTCCTCGTTCATTCCTACCCAGCTAAATTGCAGGCCTCACATAAATATAAGCACAGGTCATAGGGTGTCATCCCTAACCTAGACAGAGGTACTCTTGTAGCACTCCTTAGATTGCCACGTAACCCCCTAACGATGGCCTCAGCTTAAGCGGCACTTATGCCTGGTTTCGCATATTATAGCATACTATATTACCAAAATTGATACCCTGCCTGGCAGCGAGCTGTTACTTACCTTTCCTGCAGCTCCTGTCAGCTCCCTTCTCTCTCCTCCGGTCAGCTCCCCTGTAAGCTCCACTGTAAGTCTCGCGAGAGCTGCGGAGTCAGAGCATTGCCGCGGGTTACCGTGGCAATGCTCCGTGCGGCACACAGACTGCGAGACTTGCAGTGGAGCTGACAGGGGAGCTGAATGGACCAGAGGAGAGAGAAGGGAGCTGACAGGAGCTGCAGGAAAGGTAAGTTACAGCCTGCTGCCACCACCCCCCCCCTACACAGCCAATGCCACTGGACCACCAGGGAATGAGAGCCCCCCTCCCTGGCCAGCTAACAAGCAGGGAGGGGGACAAAAATAAATAAATAACAAATTTAATAATATTAAAATAAAAATATTAATAATATTAAAAAATAATAATAATAATAAAATGAAAATAAAATATTAATAATATAACAAAAAAATTAAATATTAAAATAATAATAATAATTAAAAAAAATTATAAAAATGCCCACCCCCCACCAAGGCTCTGCATCACATACACAAACACACTCTGCATCACACACACACTGCATTCATACACACACTGCATTCATACACACACACACTGCACTCATACACACACACTGCACTCATACACACACTGCACTCATACACACACACACACTGCACTCAGACACACACACACTGCACTCACACACACACACACTGCATTCATACACACACACTACATTCATACACACACACACACTGCATTCATTATATACACACACTGAAAATAAATATTCAATTTATATAAGTCTTATACGCGATTCAATAAGTTTTCCCATTTTTGGGGGGTAAAAGTAGGGGTCTCGACTTATATTCGGGTATATACGGTATTTAGAAAACTTTTAATAAAATACTTATTATATTAAAAAGCATCATGCCAATTTCTGGCAATTATTTAATAGTACATAGTATATGTATCTATTTATGTGTTAAGGTGGACCATGCATTTTATGAGTTAAAGTGGACAATGCATTTTATAGTGAAATTAGAGATGGATGAATGTAAAATCCTATTTGTACTGTGTATGTCACAAGGCTGAGGGAACCCCTTGTTGGTGAATTGCTGCTACCTCTGCTGATAGTGAGCACCTATCCAATCCCCTTTTTATATATATTGTAAAGTAGATTCTCTAAGGAAAAGTATTCAAAGTTTCCTTATGTTTTTAAGTGCCAGGAACAGAAGAAGATAAAAAAAAATTATAAAAGCAACTAAAAGCATCACAACACAACTAGTAGTGAATGCTAAATATACTTTAATGCTTTAAAAACAAAAGTTAAAACAACACAATGCGTTTCGCCAACAGGGGGGCTTTCTCAAGTGTATATAATGGGGGCTTGGCACTTAGGAGTTTATGTAGGGAGATGTGAGGTTCAAATGGAGTAAAGTGCCACCAAAATGACATCATATGTGACCTTTGACCCCAACTAGGGTCATATCTTGAGAGCAAAGGTCAACTTGGTAGATTACAAATAAAATAAAAACACAACAAGACAAAAAGTCATACATGGTATACTGTGACTAGTAATAAAACAACTGGGTAATAAAAAATGATTATTTCACGTTTCAGACCAGGTCACATTAACTTTAATTAAGTAATTTTAAGATAATTTATAAAAATTGAAAAAAGGCAATGGTTTCTGTTAGAGGAGTATATATAGTGGCCATTTTAGATCACCTGTTTTGTGGCAGGTCTGTGTACTGTCACTTTTGTCTTTCAGGTACATCTTGCTGTTAGAAGTCTGGAATGCTGTGCAGGAGAGAAGAGTGGAGTGGCTTCAAG